AATGCGCAGCAGACCGCCGCGGCCGTTTTGCTAACGTCTACCGGTTGAATTTTTGCAGCAAACACCAGTCAGCTGCAGCAAGTTGGAATACGGACGCGGTGTGTGCGTCACTGTCGGCTGCTGCTGCGAGCGCGTACGTAGGCGTTACTTGGAGCTTGGCTTGCACTCTGCCCCCGCCACCACCACCACGACCACCACCACGACCACGACGCAACACATCAGTGAATCATATTATATCCAATGTAGGGTGGCGGGCGAGGTGCGAGCGTAAATGGTTTTTATATGTAGATAAGTTTACGTATATAGTTGCATAAATCAACACACGTTGATAAGCGTACTATATAGTACTCGGGGGTATAGACATGTGTGTGATATAGTGTATGAAGCGAGAGAGGGGTAGGCTAGTGAGATGCTAGATCGATAGCAAAGAAGTGTTGTGCGCGCGCGTGTGTGCGTGCGTGTATGCGTGTGTGTGCGCGTGCGTGCGTGTATGTGCGTGTGCGTGCGTTCGTGTATGCATGTGTGTGTGCGTGCGTGTGCGTGCGGGCGTGTGCGTGCGTGCGTGTGTGGAGTGCGTGCCTGCGTGCGTGCGTGCGTGAGTGAGTGCGTGCGTGAGTGTGTGTGCAGCCTGCGTACGTGCGTGTGCGGCGTGCGTGCGTGCGTGTATGAATGTGTGTGTGCTTGCGTGTGCGTGCCTGCGTGTGCGTGCGTCCGTATATTCGTCTGTCCGTCTGTCCGTCTCTCCGTTTACCCGTCTGCTAGTCCATCCGTCCGTCCGTGTGTCCGTTGGTCCGTCAGTCCGTTTATACCTCCGTCGGTCAGTCCGTCGGACCGTCCGTCCTTCCGTCCGTCCGTCTGCCCCCTCGGTCCGTCTGTCCGTCTCCCCCCTCGGTCCGTCTATTCGTCCGTGCGCCGGTCCGTCTATCCTTCCGCCCTTCCGTCCGTCTGTCCGTCTGACCGATCGTCCATTTGTCNCTAGTTTCATGGCAAGAACCCTGGTTTCTTGAGCAAGAAACTAGGTTTTGTGAGCACGAAACCTGGTTTCGTGCGAAGAACCGTGGTTTCTCGAATTATGATACAAATGGCTTGCCATATACGTGTACGTGCGTTTGCGTGCGTACGTGCGTGCGTGTGCGTGCATGTATAGCATGACTGTGTGTCAGTGTTTGTATTTGTTTGTTTAGCTGTGTGAGTCGCTCTTCTGTCCGTCTGTCCATTTATCCGTCTGTCCGTATGTCCGTCTGTCCGTCTGTCCGTCAGTCCGTCAGTCCGTCAGTCCGCCTGTTCGTTTACCCGTCTGTTAGTCCATCCGTCCGTCCGTGTGTTCATTTGTCCGTCATTCCGTCTATACCTCCGTTCGTCAGTCCGTCCGACCGTCCGTCCATCCGTCCGTCCGTCCGTCTGCTCCTCGGTCCGTCTGTCCGTCGGTCCGCCGGTCCGTCTATCCTTCCGCCCTTCCGTCCGTCTGTCCGTCTGACCGATCGTCCATTTGTCCATCTGTCCGTCTGTCCGTCTGAACCCGCTGTTTATCAATCCGTCCACCAACACATCTACACATCCATCTATCTATCCGTACATCCATCCGTCCGTCCGTCTCTCCGTCTGTCCGTCTGTCCGTCTGTCCGTCTGTCCGTCTGTCTGTCAGCATTTCCATTTGAACGTTTGCCCGCTTGTCCATTTGTCCGTCTCTCTGTTTGTTTGACCGTCTGTCCTTCCGTCGGTCCGTCTCGTTCAATCTCCATCTCTTTCTGTGCGAGAGCGTGTGCGTACATGCATGTGCGCGTGCGTCGGTGAGTGTGTTGGAGTCTGACGGTTTGGGAGTGCGAGATCGGGGAATGCGTGTGCGTGTATGTGTGGGTCTGATCATGCGCGCGCGCCTATGTATGTATGTGTGTGTGTTTGTCTATGTGTGTGAGTGCGCGCGTGTGTGTCTGTGTGTGTATGTGTGCATGTGTTTTGAGTGTATGCGGGTATGTGCGTATGTGTTTTGTGTGTATGTGTGTATGTGTGTATGGATGTGGGTGTGNCAGACGCTGCAGGTAGGCAACTGATAAGACCAGAGCGCACGGTCACAGGAAACGCGGTGCACGTATCGCATGGAGTGCGTTTGCGGTCGTGAGGTGAGTCGGTGGTGCGTGGTGGCCGACAGCGTGAGTGTGAGGTGTGATGTGTGTGCGTGTGCGTCAGTGTGTGTGCGTGTATGTGCGTGTGGCGTGGCGTATGTGTAGACGTGCGTGTTGTTGCGTGCGTGCGTGTGTGCTCGTATTGCGTGTGAGTGTAAATGTAATGTGTGTGTGCGTGTGTACATGCGTGTGCGTGTGAGTGTGCGTGTGAGTGTCGAGGTGTTGTGTGTGGAGAGAGGAGAGTAGTGTCGGTGTGATACTGCTGCGCTCGGCAGTATGTGTACGTGCGTTGCGTGCGTGCGTGTGCTGCGTGCGTTTGCGTGTGAGCTGTGGCGTGTGAGTGTGAGTGTGCGAGTGCGTGTCGTGTGGCGTGTGCGTGTGCGTGTGCGTGTGTGTGCGTGCGTGTGTGCGTGTGTACATGGCGTGTGCGTGTGAGTTTGCGTGTGCGTGTGGTGGCGTGCGTGTTGCGTGTGTACATGCGTGTGCGTCGTGCGTGTGAGTTTCCGTGTGCCGTGTGATGTGCGTGCGTGTGTGCGTGTTGCGTGTGTGCGTGTCGTAAATGCGTGTGCGTGTGTTTGCGTGTGAGTGTGGCGCCGTGGCGTGGCGTTGCGTGTGCGTGTGCGTGTGGCGTGTGCGTGTCTCGTAGCGCGCGTGTGTGTGTGTGTTTCTGTATGTGCATGCGGGTATGTGTGTATGCGCGTATGTGTGTATGTGCGTATGTGTGTATGTGTGTATGTGTGTATGTGCGTATGTGTGTATGTGTGCGTACGTTGTGAATGTTCTGTGTGCGCGCACGTGTGTGTGCGCATGTTTTCATGTGTGTGTGCGCATGTGCGTGCGTGCGCGCGAGTATGTGTGTGTTTAGTGAGCGTGTTGACAGTTTTACTTGTCTACTTAAAATATCGTACCTTAAAAACATACCGTGAGTTGTTGTTCTCAGCTTCTATTCGGTACTTAACCAGTGATGCGTCAGGAAATCTGCGTTCAGCCACGGTGTCCTGAAATAACAAAATGATGAATGGAACGACTAACAGTATAATGTAAAAACGCAAGAATGAAGAGTAAGGCAAAGCATCATGCTGCAATACCCGTCAGCCTAAAAAAGGAAAACACAATTAGTACAAGCCTACAACATACTGTGATGTGACTTACATATTATATCTGATCTGGTTAAGTCACGATTCACACACAGAAAGTCTGTTAGACTATAGTACCCGTGCCTATGTGTACGTGTACGTGCGTTTGCGTGCGTGCGTGCGTGTGCGTGCATGTATAGCATGACTGTGTGTCAGTGTTTGTATTTGTTTGTTTAGCTGTGTGAGTCGCTCTTCTGTCTGTCTGTTCGCTTGTCCGTTTGTCCGTCTGGCCGTCCGTCCGTCCGTCCGTCCGTCTGTTCATCTGTCCGTCTGTCCGTCTGTCCCTCTGTCCGTGTGTGTTTGCATGCGTGTGCGTGCATGTGTGTGTGCGTGTGTGTGTGCGTGCGCGTGTGCGTGTGCGTGTGCGCGTACGCGTGCGCGTGTGCGTGTGCGTGCGTGTGTGCGTGTGTGCGTGTGTGCAAGCGTGTGCGTATGTGTACGTACGGGTGTGTGTGTGTGCGGGTATGTGGGTATGCGCGTATGTGTGTATGTGTGTGTACGTGGTGAATGTTCTGTGTGCGCGCACGTGTGTGTGTGCGCGCATGGTTTTGTGTGTGTGCGCGTGTGCGTGCGTGCGGGTGCCCGAGTATGTGTGTTTAGTGAGCGTGTTGACAGTTTTACTCTACTTACAAATATCGTACCTTAAAAACATACCGTGAGTTGTTGTTCTCAGCTTCTATTCGGTACTTAACCAGTGATGCGTCAGGAAATCTGCGTTCAGCCACGGTGATCTGAAATAACAAAATGATGAATGGAACGACTAACAGTATAATGTAAAAACGCAAGAATGAAGAATAACGCAAAGCGTCATGCTGCAATACCCGTCAGCGTAAAAAATGATAACACAATTAGTACAAGCCTACAATATACTGTGATGTGACTTACATATTATATCTGATCTGGTTAAGTCACGATTCACACACAGAAAGTCTGTCAGACTATAGTACCCGTGCCTATGTGTACGTGTACGTGAGTTTGCGTACGTGCGTGCGTGCGTGTGTATGCATGTATAGCATGACTGTGTGTCTGTGTTTGTATTTGTTTGTTTAACTGTGTGAGTCGCTCTTCTGTCCGTCTGTTCGCTTGTCCGTCTGTCCATCCATCCGTCTGTCCGTCTGTCCCTCTGTCCGTCTATCCCTCTGTCCGTCTATACATCCGCCCGTCGGTCTGTTCGTCCATTAGTTCATCTGACCGTCTGAACCCTCTGTTTATCAATCCGTCCACCCACACATCTATCTCCGTCGCGTGTCACCGTCTATTCGTCAGTCCGTCTCTCCGACTCTCCGTGTGACCGTATGTCGCTCTCTCCGTGTGTCCGTATGTCGGTTTCTCCGTGTATCCGTATGTTGGACTCTCCGTGTCTCCGACTCTCCGTGTGTCCGTATGTCGGTCTCTCCGTGTGTCCATATGTTCGTCTGTCCGTCTCTCCGACTCTCCGTGTGTCCGTATGTCGGTCTCTCCGTGTGTCCGTATGTCGGTCTCTCCGTGTGTCCGTATGTCGGTCTCTCCGTGTGTCCATATGTTCGTCTGTCCGTCTCTCCGACTCTCCGTGTATCCGTATGTCGGACTCTCCGTGTTTCCGTATGTCGATCTCTCCGTGTGTCCATATGTTCGTCTGTCCGTCTCTCCGACTCTCCGTGTGTCCGTATGTCGCTCTCTCCGTGTGTCCGTATATTCGTCTGTCCGTCTCTCCGTTTACCCGTCTGTTAGTCCATCCGTCCGTCCGTATATTCGTCTGTCCGTCTCTCCGTTTACCCGTCTGTTAGTCCATCCGTCCGTCCGTGTTTTCGTTTGTCCGCCAGTCCGTCTATCCTTCCGCCCGTCTGTCCGTCTGACCGTCTGACCGATCGTCCATTTGTCCATCTGTCCGTCTGAACCCGCTGTTTATCAATCCGTCCACCAACACATCTACACATCAATCTATCTATCCGTTCGTCCGTCCGTCCGTCTGTCCGTCTGTCTCTCCGTTCGTCTGACCGTTTGTCTGTCTGTCCCTCTGTCCGTGTGTGCATGCGTATATGTGTTTGTGTGTGTGTATGTATGTGTGTGTGAAAGTGTGTGTGTGACTGTGCGTGTGCGTGTGCGCGTGTGCGTGTGCGTGCGTGTGCGTGCGTGTGCGTGCGTGTGCGTGCGTGTGTGCGTGTGTGCATGTGTTGTTTTTTGATGTATAACTGTATTTTTTTGTGGGGACACAAATTCTGTCGAGAGAGAAGGAAGGATTGTTGTATGGTACACTGTAATTAACCAGGAGCGCTCCAGCCAGGCGAAGCAGTAATTAGTCTGTGTTCTGGCATAGTGATTCGTTGTTGTTTTGGTAATGGCGCGGTATGTACGATCTTAGATATATGCGTAGCTTCACGTGTCTCCTAGCCCCGGCGAAGAACCGGTTGGATTCAAAAGTCGCCGGGGATTTTTGGGAATCATATAAATAGACACGCTCGGACAGACAGGGAGGAGTTACCTACCCAGATGAGATACGACGATGTAGAGAGATAGACGAAAACGGAGACGACGGGACCTAGGCACGGTCACCCACCTAGGTTGCCGTATGTATATATTTTGTATGTGTAGTTAATAATAAAAGTCCATGTGAAACAACTAATCTGCGACTACGGCTCTACCTCTGCTATCTACGCTGCTGCTAACTTCTCTACCATTGCTGACGAAACAACTCTGCTACCTTCTACGCTGTCGACCTACGAGAACCCGAAGTCGCTCACCTAAAAACCGCAGTACAACAATCGGTGGAGGATGCGGGGTGAAATGAGACGTCATTTTCACCAGACAGCTGCAGCAATCCCTAATTTTCCTTCCGTTCCTACTTTCAGATCCCTGGAATTTCCGGAGTATTTTAGCCCGGATAGTTGGCTACACACACAGTGCGTATTCAGCTACCTTCGACACCACCGAGAGTTCAACCCCTCGTATGCGCTGATGCATCGGCGAAGTGTTCAGCGCTTAGGGCCATGGCGCTGAGGGAAGTTGTCTTACGAAAGGACTTTTATTATTAACTACACATACAAAATATATACATACGGCAACCTA